ACTACAGACATTTCTTTAACAAAATATTTATTGTTTGCTCCAAGAACACATTGCATGTCTAAGATGGCTGAAGACATTATGACTTGTTTTCATGAACTTATTAAATATTTATCATTTACAGAGGTATACCGTATACCAGTCACGATGTGGTTTACAGCTCGATTGAAATTATATCTCATATATTTAACCAAATATTGTATTTATTTAGTTTTTCTTTTTATAATTGCMTTCAACGATTACSAAACGTGAATTTAATTCYGAAATATATGCCCCATGATTCGGTAATGAGTTTTCATCAAATATTCCGGTTATGCGATTTATTTCATCTTTTAATTGGAACAAGTCATGTCCCTGGATACCTATTGCTGTACTAGTTTCAGCACAGTCATTAAATAGCTTCGACATACGATTTTCACAATTTAATAAAGACTTATTGTTTATTTGTATATTATTTTCCAACAATTGTMTCTTCTCTTGTAGATTAACGAAATAATTTTTCAAATTATCAATTTCTTTCTGTTGGAGTTCCACACCATTTAGAATTGATTTATTACTTGACTGAATATCTGAAAGAATTCTCTTAGTATCACCAGCTTGAGAACTACCAAACACGTTCATAGTTATAAAACGACTGACRCTATATTTTAACATCACGTGTATTTATCCAACTATCATGAGTATTTTCAAATCCTAGCCACTTGACAAACACACGATTCCCCTTCCTTCTTATTATTTTTTCGATCAAATATTCATTAGGGAAATTAGTTTTGAATATTTCTTGAGAGTAAAAACAACCTGCAATAGGTTTACCCATAATATCTTGTAACTGATATGTAACTGGTAATGTTTTATTTATTTTRATAATCTCAAATATWTCAGTAKACCAGTTTGGAAGATASCCTTTTGTAAACACGCCTTTTTGTGTACTGATACGAACGTTATCACCGACTTTGAATTTAATTTTTGCATTATATTTTATTTCACGATGTTTTATTTTCACCGACTCAGGGTTAGCATCTGCCTGCATTGGTGACATTCCTATAGTTCTATGTCGTGAATTATTCAAGCAGAATTATATTCTTCAAGCAGCTTCGGTAAAATAGAAATCCACTCGTGTGAACCACGTGCGGTGAACTCTCTATACATTTTTTCCTTTAAAGTTCGATTAAACTTTTCTACAATACAATATGACGGAAGCCAACTAACACAGTAATAGAACGACTCAAACAGCGATACGGTMACAAGGTTTGGTTATACAATCCCATATACGAGCAATCCTTGATAGCCCGCGCATAAAAAATGCTGGGGCTTCGGAGTTCCAACAGTTGCACTCACATGTTTGTTCACACGTAGCCGCCTTGAAGTCACTCGATCAGCCAATCGATCAATGGGATGCTTGGTTGGTTACAATAGTTACAGGAAGACTATATGTAGCTACTGCACAGGCTTGGCAGTTGAGTTGTCAGGGTACTGAACTCCAGAGGTATGAAGAATTGGAAAAATTTCTAATAGGACAATGCACAGCATTCGAGACCACCGAAGCATGGAACGCAGAGTCTAGTGCAGGAAAGGGGTCAATTATGAAGAATCTTGCGAAGGTTCCAAACATGAAGAGAGCGTTAGTCACAACAGAATCGAAGAAAATAATTACTTGCGTCTG